TATTGTGCGGAAAATATATGCATAAAAATCTCGTGAGTTATTGGCTTATATTATTTCGGAAGGGTCGCTACAAATGTTGGTATTAGAGCCTAGGTTTGTGGTTCTAGGACCTTTGCTGTGAATTACTTGTATACTTTTTTGCCTTCGGAAAAGGTTTTATTTGGATTATTTGATCACTTACATGGTTTAAAATATTTTGTATCGCATGTAGAGTGCACATGTATCATGTACATGTCCCTAATGCAATGTGATCTTCCCTTTTGAAGGAATTAAGTTATGGCCTCTTCTTCTGACCGACCTATGGAAGCTGCCCGTGAAGGTTTGGGAACCTCTGTTCCCCAACCTCATGCACTAGAAGAGCTTGGAGAACCTTTCTCGAATCAATATGTTCCCCACACTAGTGGGTATAAAGCGGGAAACCATCAGGGTGTAAGAGTTGGTTTACATCATCACATGAGCCGTGGTACTCAAGCCATAAATCCTCCTTTTCAACAAATGGTTGAATTCTTCCACCACATGGCTGAATCGATGCATGATCTCAACGTGATTAACTTTGAGAAAATGAGGAAAATGGGTGGAGTGGAGTTTGAAGGCACCGTTGATCCCACTGATGCTGAACAATGGCTGGAGCGCATGGAGAGGGTATTTAAGCAGTTAAAGTGTTCAGATGTTTACAAATTTAAGTATGCTATTTCACTATTACAAACGGATGCTTACGATTGGTGGGTAAGTGTTCCAAATGCGAAGGTAAAACCTCCTATTCTTACTTGGGATGATTATCTTAGGGAATTTTGTATGAAGTATGTCCCACTTGCTTATTGTGATGCAAAGAGAAAAGAGTTTTTGAATTTAAGGCAATGAGGCATGTCTATTGTTGAGTACCAACAGAAGATTCTAAGGCTCTCTTGTTATGCTGGGGGTATTATTAAAGAGGAAAAAGACAAGTGCATGAAATTTGAAGACGATTTAAATGATTCCATTAGAAAGAATGTGGCGATCTTGCAACATGAGAACTTTTGTAAGTTAGTGTCTGTTGCTTTAACTTGGGAACGACTTGATAAAGAAGAAGCTAGTAGAAATGAAAACAAATTCCGAAAGCCTAGACTAGATTTTGGGAGTCCATCAAAAAGGGGAAGGTTTGCTAATTCTAAGGCTGGTAGTGATAACAGGCCACCGCAACAAAAGCAAAATAGATCAGATTTTTATACAAGTAGCCCTCCAAATTATGGCCAAGGCAAGCCTCGTGTTCCCACTTGTCCGCAATGTGGAAAGAATCATTATGGTACTTGCAGGAGAGCTTCTGGTTCATGTTTCAATTGCGGGAGCTTAGATCATAATGTGAAGGATTGTCCTAATCCTAATACTGCTCCTTCCTTGAGAACTGAAGGCTCAGTTCGCAAGCCTTCTATTAATCCTCCTCAAACTAATAGAGGTGCAAGACCTAAAGACACCAAAGCAGCAGGTACAAGTGGACCTAATCAAGCTAGTGGACAATGGGCTACTTCATGCACTTATGCTATAAGGCAGAGGGATGAGCAAGATGGACAAGACGTGGTTGTTGGTAAATTTCACTTATTTGTCTTATGTGTGTTTACACTGTTTGATCATGGTTCTACACATTCCTATATTTTTTCGTCACTTGTTCTTCTTGAAAATGTGAAATCACTACAACAAATATGATATATAGCTATGAAACTATTAGCTACGACATGAAATTCGTCACCAATGGTTTATCTTTTGTGACAAAAATTATATTTCGTATTTAAATACATGAAGCACATACTTTTAAGCACGAAACATAAAATTTCGTAGCAAAGTTTTGTCCTCTAAAATTTCCCACCAAAAAATAAGTTGGCGCCATTTATTGAGTACTATTAGTGACGAATTTAAAGTTCTTAGTGACACATTATTTTGTCACTAACTATGTACCCATTCTGTGACGAATCCTATTTTGTCCTAAAATTAATTAAATTTTGGACACGAAATTTTTTGTCACAAAAAGTATATTGATACAATAGTGACAAATTATAATTTGATGTTAATCATTGTGTAATTTAGCAACAAAATTTCAAATTTAATTGTGACCTTAGATTTTTTCACTAATAGTTCAAGCAATTAGTGACGATTATATTATTGTCTCTATTGAACCTATAATTTAATCACAATAAAATTTTGTCACAAAAAAATGATTAAATGTCTACGACTTAAATTTTTTAGTTAATTAATAAAATGATTGGATACAAAAAAAATTAGTGGTTATAAATTAAAATATCATGAATAATAGACACATTTAATTCAAATATAGTAAAAATACAAATTTTGTCCGTCCATAAACATTAACCATACAAACATTTTTTTAGTGTAAAATCTGAAGTTATACTCTAGACAAGCGTCATACCAATATTATGTAATTAAAAAAAATATTTTAACACCAAAAAAGTTAGAAGCAAAGTTCCCATTTCATCAAAAGCCTCGATAAGTTTGCAAATATTTTATCACTAGATGCTAGCGCCGGTGTAAGCATCGGCCCGATATATATTACTCTATTAATTTCAATTTATGTGGTACAAATAGAATTAAAAGACCTAATAAAATTTTGATATGATTTTTAAATATTTTAAAATGTTATTACTATAATTTGTAGTACTTTTAAGGTAATTTTCAAATAATATGTTACTCACTTTGTCCTAATTTACGTGGCACATGAGAAACTTTGATAGTCAACAAAATTTTAAATATAATTTAAAAATATTTGAAGTTGTTAATTATTGTGATTTATAATGTTTGTAAGTAATGTAATTTTTAAATAAATGTGTTACACTCTGTGTCACAATTTATGTTGCACATGAGAAATTTTGAGAATTAACAAAATTATAATATGTTTTTTAAAAAAGAAAATAAAATAATATATATATATATAAGTTGTTAATTATTGTAATTTATATTAATCTTAACGTAATTTTCAAATAATATATTTTATCCCTTCTGTGTTTCGAGAGTTGTCTAAATTTTGATATGTTTTTCAAATATTTTATTTTTTTAATTATTATAATTTATAGTATTATTTTTTAGTAATTTATAACTATAAAACATACTAAAAAGGGAAATAAGACAAATACATTTAAACATATAAATTATTAAATATAAATAGAGGAAAAGTGCAGTAATTTATAAATGCATAACATACTAAAAAGGGACATAAGACAAATAAATTAAAATGTAGAAATAGTTAAATATAACTAGAGGAAAGGGCAAATTGATCAATTGACTGACTGACCTTAAGCTCCTCTATTCGGTTATATATTATATATTTTATCATACACACGACTGATAAAAATATGAGATTAACTTCTCTTCACTGACAGTGGACAAGAAAATTCCCCCGTCAGTTCATTTTTAGAAATACTTATATCTCTTAATTTAATTATTGTATTTTAACATTTAAAGATTAATGATTTTTCAGCTTCTCCTTTTTTTAAAACACGTTTTACATATATAATATTTAATTTTATTGAAAAGACGTCCAAATATTTATGATATTATTGACTTTGAGTAATATTTCAATAAATTGGAATACATATGATGATATATGGATCAAAGTTTGTTTTCAATTAATTTTTGTATTGTTGATTGAATGAACTAAGAAGAGAAAACATAGTCTCAAACAATGGAAGAACCTATTCAAAAAAAATTAATGTTGCGAAGAAGACTTAATAGGTTGTGAATAATTTTTTTATGAGATTAATTAGTCTAGATTTTAAAAAGAAAAAAAAGGTTATTGTCTCCAATTCTTCAATGGTGTTGATGGAGAACGAGGTGAAAATATCAAGCACAAGAAATAGGTGAAAGAATCCTTCTTATTTTTGGCAACCAAATGAGAATTCTAAGCAAAACTCTTATAATTAATTTAGAGTCCAAGTTACCATATAATACTCTTTTTGTTATTTTTATTTAAATATTAATAATATGTGAATATATTAGGAGGAATAAGTATTTCTAAAAATGAATTGACGGTGTAACTTTTTTGTCCACTGTTAGTTGAGAGAAGTTATTCTCTAAAAATATTTGACAAAATGCTTACTTAAATTCATTTAAATAGTTATAGCTAACAATAGTCACGTTTCTATATTTCTCATCTCTCTTGGCATTCTACTATCTCACCCAACTCCCTCCCATCTCGTTCGTCATTCTCCTATCTCGCTCACCTTCCTCTCATTTCGCTCGTCCAGATACATATGAATCACATCAGATACATGTATCTATTGTGTGTCTAGTGTGATTCACATGGGATTATAGACAAATGTCATTTGCCACTCTTCCATCTCGATTGTGAATTTGGTATCTCAATTATATGTGAATCAGACGAGAAACGTGTATATAATTTGTATCTAGTATGATTCATGTATCAAGAATATATAAGAGAATCTCGCTTGCCTCTCTCCCTATTTCAGTGTATATGGTAGCAAGAAATATGTATTTAGGTGTATTTGACTTGAAATTTGGTATGCAATTATGCAATTAGGTAGTTTTTTCTTTTAAAAATTCAAATTACTTATCCAAATAATTTTTCAATTTCAAATCACCAGACCTTCGCATAAATTTTTGTGTGTGTGTCGTGGGTTAAAATTTAATTATTTTTTTAGGGAGGCAGAACAAACCTAACTTATTTTACTTGCTTAAATTTGAGCGGGATTATTGACCCGCTCATGTATTAACTCAATCCATTAAATATTGAATTGATATATAGCCCAAATTATTTAATGACGAATCTTGTCAAAATAATTTTAAATAAATACTATTTTATTATTTGATATATTATATATAGCTATAATAATATTTTTTATTAAAGACTAAAAAATTATAAAAGAGCAAGTAAAACAATTAAGACTTAGTAAAATTGAGAGGATTGAATTATAACCCACGTTTTAACTTAAATAACTTGTGAATGACTCAATAAATCACTCATTTATCCAACACACTCATTTAACACCTCTAATTTTTTTCAATTTTGCGCCAAAACAAACGCGGCAAACAAAATTTCCATGTAATTATTTTCCCCAAATGCACATCACTGCTAATTTAGTTCCCACTACAATTAGGTTTTACTTTTTTCTTTTGATTTGATGCCTCTTTTATGTTTTACCCAAAATCTAGTGAGTTCTTGCTTCCAATTTTACTTCTACAAATGTCTAGTACTTCACATTTCCAATTAAGTTAAATTATGTTTTTCCTAATTTGCAGCTTTTTCACCGATTCTTTTTTTGTTTCTTTTCTTCTTTTGATACAAGATCCAAAGCTTTTGGACTAGAAAATGGTATGATTTTGTTTGGGGATGCTATGGTTATTTGGAGAAGCACAAAGCTAAAGTAGATATATTCTTAGATATGCAGTCTTAATTGGGAGTAACGACGAAGATGTAATCAAACGGAGACCCGCACAACAGACAAAGAAGGAGGTGAATATAAATCATAGATCCACTAAATTCTCTGTGTTTATAGATTTTCTTGTGTTTTTCTGTTTCCTCCGCTACATTCTCTACAAATTGGTCAAAAATTGATTTTTGACTTTGTTTCATTTGCTATGCTTTTTGTTCTTCTCTGTTCTTTCACGCTACATTTGAGCTTGAAAATACGAGGCTTATATTCCATTGAGTTCTACGTAAATTGAGCTTTAGATAAGCTTCCGTTTTGTGTGTGTAAGGGTGGCCGGTTGGTGGTAATGACTGTTGGAATCCGAAATTACGGGAGGCTGATGATGCTTGAAGCTTTTGATTAGATAAAAGGCTCAATCTTATTTGTTCATAAGTTTATTTTTAATTTTTAATGAATTTCTTGCTAAAATTTACTTGAGAAACCTAAGATATGGTACGGCATATTGGTCTTACAATTGATTTGAGAATGTGGATCCTTTCAAAAGAAATCATAAACCATATGACGAATGGATTTTATGTTGATGTTTTATTGTCTATCTCCAACAACAACATACCTAATGTAGTTTCACAACTGGTATTTGGGCAGAGTAGCATGTATGTAGACCTTATTCTTACCGGGGCTAAAGTGATTGTTTTCGATAGACTCTCAACTCAAAAGTGAAGTTTTTGAAGTAATCTCAAAGAGTAATGCCACGAGCAATATGCTGTCAAAAAAAAGAAATTAATTTGAAAACGAAGAAGCTATCAACTGCACAAATATAGATGCCTCACTAGCTAGGCTGTATCAACTACATGATTTCATCTTTAACTTCAGATATTGATCCTTATTTAAGAAAAACTTACATGTTTAAGGCTTTAAAGTTCTTTGCTATTCCAAGATACTATTTAAAATTATATATTTCTTGCATCCATTTATGGTTGAGAGAATCCTAATGTGAGATGATGAATACTTGAAAACAAGGAAATTAAGTTAATGAATAGTTAGTACATTACTATTAAGTATTATGAACAACTTAACATATAGGAAAAATGCAAAATCGGGAGTTCCTTTAGTTTTCGATCAGATAATTTTAGTTTTCAAAGTAAAATAGTAAATATTTTTTAATATGCATGTGTAATAATAGCCTATCATACTTACAATTGACCAATGTGTGTGGTACTAATAGTGCTACACATGTTGATCGTTTTTCCTCTTTTGCTTTTACTCAATATCTTGTTTCAACTTTCACTTAAAGTAATGTTAAGAGTGTCGATATTTTGTATATTGCATTTTATAACCCTGACTACAAAATGTAATAATTTCCTTTAGGTACATTCTTATAATCATACCGTCAGTGGATCATATCCTTTGTTTGGGTTTTGCACGTTCACTACATGGTGGCACCTTCAAGGTCATTTATCTCTATGTATCTCTTTCTCTTTACTCAAGTAAGTCATCTTATTAAATGATGGTTTGGTCTATTTTTTTCTTAATTCTGGATAGGAAATTTTTTTAGTATTAGGGAAGTCTAGTAGCTCATAAAACTATCATTTTCTTTTTAAATAAGAGACTCTTTTTGGGACAAACAAAAAAGGAAAGTAAGACGTGTAATAGTAACCAATGAAGTACCATTCTGATGAGGAAAATACTGGAAAGTTCAAAGTGCTCAAAAGTTCAATCAACTTTCTAGTTTTTATTTTTTCTTCTCTTTTATATTTCTATTTACTGCTTAATTTGATTATGATTTTCATACTTAGTAGGCGAAAGGTTTCGTGTATTTTCTACTTGTTTAGTAAATGGTAATACTCCTATACAACAACTCTTATGCTTGCTTTAGCTGATATGATATATAATATTAGGATCATAGTTTAGTGAATCATAAGTCTAGATATGATTGACATTAATTAATATATTTGTTGATTTTTTTTCACATGCCAACCATGTGTATATGCTTGGAAATCTAAGACTTGGATATGCAAAAAAATATTACTGTTAGAGTTCTTAGTGATAAAATATCACATGTTTAAACTTGGTTGTTACTTTAATTTGAGATATCTTTTTATCCATGATAATATTCAATACTCTCTTTATCATATTCTTTGGGGTTCATTCATTAGACAATTGTTATTGTTAAAGTTGATATTACTCCATAGAGTTGTCTTGGAGATGTCTTACTTTGTGAAGGTAAATCCAATTAGTACATTACCAGATGATGTGGTTTAGTCAGCATCTTAAGGACAATAACAGATCAAATTGAATGTCTATCTTTTTTTTTGGTTAAAATGGTTTGGCTCAAGGCCAATTTATTCAAAACAAATTATATACAAGCTATAGCTAAAAGCCCGGCCAAGAACATATCAGGACTATCTTAACAGAAAATAAGCAAAAGGAAAAAAAAGATAAAATACAACAAATGAAAAAACTAAAGAAGTAACTAAAAGGAAAGTGAAAAGACCATGGATGAACTCTCTGTAACATTCGACCCCAGAGATTCGCCCGTAAACTTGGACCTTGAGCTCATCTAAATTGTTGCTGCTCTGTTGGAAATCAACCAGATTGACCTCTGAAGGTACGAGTTGAGGGAGGTAAGTAGCATTCTTGGAGCCTAATCAATTTCTTACGGGATAAAATCGGTTTTTCTTCAGCTCCTGCTTATTGATGACATTTCTATCTCAAGTTTTGGGTGATGCCACTATGAGACACCTACAATATTTCACCAGGAGAAGTGACATCTTACCCAAAAGAATCTTTTCTCAAACTTGAAGAGAAGTGATTTAAGATGAAACTGAAGTTTAAGATGACTGATAGTCCTTAACTATTGATGTAGGTTGTATTAGGAGTGACTCATTTGTGATTTTCATTGTTTTTCTTCTAGCAGAATGAACCTCCAAGGAGATTGATACCACATACTAGAACAATCACAATAGAAGCCACAAACAAACTCTCCAAATGGAATTACGGTAAAATCATATATTTGTACTTCTTGCTGTGTTTTTGGGAATGCTTTACTGTTTGGACCTGTGGCTTACTGAATTGTTGTTAATCAGTCTTAGACCTTGTGTTGGAAATAGCAATTTAATTTGGTTCCCTTTGTCTTATCGCCTTGAATCGTGTACTTGGATTTTGTTGTTTATGTGTGTTAATTAATTATCTTTTTAGCTTCTGATGGGAGTTCCTGAAAATTATTGTATTGAATAGTACAATAAAACACCCCCACCCCCGCTCCTCCTTTGTCCCTACATTTATTTCTCTTCTCATTTATGTTCCAATTTTGTAAGATCTACCAATTTTCTCTTCATTTGTGCATATTTTCTTCGGATCTCAGTTCCAAAATGCGTGAAATCCTTCTTATTTAAGGTGGACAATGTGGTAACCAAATTGGTGCCAAGTTCTGGGAAGTTTTTTGTGCCAAACACGACATTGATTCTACCGGTCGTTACAGTGGTGATTTTGATCTCCACTTGAGAGAATTAATGTGTATTACAATGAGGTTACCAATGGAAGATTTGTTCCTAGGGATGTTCTTATGGATTTGGAGCCTCGCACCATGGACAATATTAGATCTGGTCCTTATGGACAAATCTTCCATCCTGATAACTTTGTTTTTGGACAATCTGGTGTTGGTAACAATTGGGCTAAGGTAAGTTACACCGAAGGTGCTAAATTTATTGATGTCGTTCTCGATCTTGTTCGTAAGGAAGCCTAAAACTTTGACTGCCTTCAAGGTTTGTGTTTCTACCCGTATTTTCTTAAACATTTTGTTTTCATTTGGTGTTGTTGTTGTAGATCTGTGCATTTTGAGGATTTATTTACATTCTATGTGTTTGATTTTAAGGGTTTCAATTGTGCCATTCATTGGGTGGAGGAACAAGTTCTTGTATGGGAACACTTTTGATCTTAAAGATCAGAGAAGAATACCCGGACAGAATGATGCTTACCTTCTCCATTTTCCCTTCACCTAATGTTTCTGACATTGTTGTTGAGCCTTATAATGCTACCTTGTCCTTGCATCAACTGGTTGAAAATGCCAATGAGTGCATTGTTCTTGGTAATGAGGTTCTATATTACATCTTCTTCAGAACCCTAAAGCTCATCACCCTAAGTTGCAAGTCATTTCAGCATCTCGATTGCGCTTTTCTTTGCGTTATCTGTTTGATTGTTGTTAGCTGAGCATGTTTGATATTTCTTGTTAGTTTTTTATTTAGCACTTTTGAAGTTATGAATCATCTGATATATTTCTTATATAAAAGCTTTGTTTGTTAAAGAATCGGCTAACTGGTTCCCTTCTCTTAGAACACGTGACACCTAGAAATCCCCCCTTCTCTTCCACTCTTAGATCTTCTGAACCTCCATACTAATAGCCCATGGACTGTCCCAATCTTCATCAATCACCTTCTTGATGATTAGGGAGCTAGTCTCCATAATAAGAGGCATTAGCTGTTCTTTTATACAATAAGCCACTACTTCATGAATTGTCAACTCTCCAACACCTAAACTAGTAGTATTGGCAATGACCCCTACCATTTCTAATGCAGAATGCTAGAGAGCAAGGCTCAGGGTTCTCTCTAGACGAGCCATCAGTATTGAACTTAAATTTTCCTTGGGGAGGAAGATGTCACTAGACTAATGTACACCTCGTTGGTTTGTAGATTTCCAACTTTTGTATCATAAGTGGCCAAATGTTAGAGATCTTTGTTATCCATGGGAACCTCAATCTAGCCAAGAGATAGAGGTTCTGATTTGTGTCATTAATAACTCTGTTTCTTGATATTGAACCTTCTTGGAAAATGATATTTCTTTTCTTCCATCGATGCCATATAATGATGGCTGGGGCAGCCAGATATAGTGGCTTCAGTTAATTAGGAGAATAGTCAGCTTTCCACAATTGTATTGCAACTTGATTTAACTAAATAAATGGGCCCTTAAGCTGCTGCAGCAAAGTGTGTTCAGATGCTCTTAGCATAATCTCTTGTTAAGAACAAATGTAGCATAGTTTCCTTAACACATCGCCCAAGGAAAAAGACCTTGTGAGACCACTGCTAAAATCCATCACACACCAAAAGTCCAAACCAGTTTGAAACAGTTAACAGTACTCATCGACAAGAATTATACAACGCAAGAACATGATCTTCTAGCAAGTTTGCTTTGACTAGTGTCTAAGTTTGAAATCAGAACCCTCCTAACTAGTATCCTCAAAACCACCAAAGATTTTATCATCCAACTAAAGATATGTGAATCGAATCACCTGAAGTCAAACTCTGTTGCAACAAGTCCAAAAAGACACTAGTTATAAATAATTTAAGGATTATATGCACAGATGTTATCAAACCCCATATACTGCCCTTCCTTGATCTTTCTAATCGTGCCATATAAAGACAAAATAGCTATACCATTCTTGCATAACACATCGCCCACTGATAATTTTCTCTTTCATACCATCCACAAATAGAAAGATAATTTATACGATAGACTAGTAACACACATTTTACTAAAAATCCATTGTTGCTCCTCTTTCTTGTTGAAGGATTAAGAATGATATTTTTCATTTGTTGAATTATGAGTAATTTTAAGTAGATTTATTTAGTGAATTAATTATTATCAAGATGTTGGGTCCTAGTCTTGAACTACATTAAGTAGTTTTGTTGCAGCAAATGCTTGGTAGGCTTCTATATTTTTTTACTTGTATGGTAGACTTCGTATAGAATTAAGGCTTTGAAAGTTGATATTTGTTTGAATTCTTTAGTTGAATACCTCTGAACTAGTAGTCGTTATTGGGGCTGACAAAAGATCTACAATAAATAACTGGACGAAATAGTGTTAATGTAGTAGGTGAGGTTTTGTTAATACGAACTCCAACATGATGCATGACTCTTTATAAATCTAGGCAATGCATGCAACATTGTCTGTAATCATTTTATTTTGTCCAATTGTCGGGGATTAGTTAAATGGTACATTAAATGGTCATATGTTATAATACTTCACATGTTAGATGTTGAGTTAATACAGTTCTCAAATATTAGCATTTTGATAATTCATGTGTAGTAGGTTGTGCGAGGATAATGATGTGTCCATTGCTCTCCAAAATTTAAAAAAAGTTCTTGCCAGGTACATAGTCTTGCTCACCCAAGATGACCTTCATATTAGTATGCTTGCATTTTTATTTAGTGCTTATAAAATTGATCATTAAAACATATTGAATACATAGATTGTGTTACAGATTCTATCTTTTTTACCTCAATATGAAAACACTTTAAACTAAATCACAATTTTGTTCTCTTTTTTTTTCCCACAGGTATAAGAGGTGAGAATTGAATCAAGACTACTTGAAAGCTAAATGTCGCTACATTTTTGGTACTTGGGAAGAAATCTACACGTATTTATCTTAGTTAAGGAGTAATATTTAGTAATCAAGTATTGGACATATTTACTTTTATTAAGGAGCTTGAAATGAGATATTATCTAGTATAGTTTTAGTTGATCTTTACTGTATGATCATGGGTGTTTTATTATTCTATTTTCAATTTATGCAATTTTAAATTCAAATATAATATCAATATGAAATAATTAAATGTCATCAAATGTTTTTAATTAGTGGCAAAAGATTTTAACTTTTTGCGATTACTATATCAAACTTTTCAAGACATTTTCATCAAAAATTAAATTAGTTTTTCATAAATTGAACACATTTAGTGACAATATATTTGTTCTAGTACCCTCCTTATCGAATATGAATTAATTTTATATTTTATGACAATTGTAATTATTACTAATAATATGACGATTTATAGTGACAATTTTATGTTGTCAATAAAAATCATACTTTTAGTGACAAGATGATATATTTAACTACAAAATTGTAAATCTTCATTAGAGTGATAAATTTATCACTAATTTATACATTTAAGGACGAAATACTTTTTTGTATATAAAAGGTAGTCATTAGTGACGAAATTTCTTTTGTTCTACTACGAAATATATAGAACTTTAGAGACAATTGGTATTGTCACTAATTGAACTAAATAATTAGTGACCAAATAGTTTTGTCGGTGTTAATAACGTTTTTAGTGACAAAATTATACTATCAACTACAATAAAACACACTTTTTATGACAATCAAATTCGTCACAAATGCTATGCATTTTGTGACGATTTTTTTTGTTTTGTAGTTAATGGAACTTCTTTATAGACGAAGCACTAAATCGTCTTTATATACATTTAGTGATGCACCTTTAATGACGACTGACTGACGAAATTTTTTTCGTCACAATTTTTTTTGTGATGAAATATGCTTTATAAATGACGAAATAATTTGTCCCTAATCATCAAATTTGTTGTAGTGAATCTATGAGACTTAATTATGATGTACTGGTTGAAAGTCCTTTGGGTTATCAGGTTGTGTGTAATCGAATTTATCGAGATTGTCCCTTCGTGATTCTAAACCTAGTCTTCCCGGCAGATTTGATTGAAATGCCTTCAAGGATTTTAATGTTATTTTCGGGATGGATTGGCTTCATAAATATCATGCAGTGGTAGATTGTAGGTCAAATCATGTGACCTTTAAAGATCCTACATTTTCACACATCATTGTACAAGGTGAAAGATCATTGACAGTTAGTATTATTTCTGCGGCCTTGGCAAGAAAATTGATGCGTCAAGGTTGTGGGGTATACCTTGCAGACATAATTGATACACGGTTGGAGAGTCCTTGTATCAAGTACATACCTGTTGTATGTGATTTCCCAGAAGTCATCCCAGAAAACCTTCTTGGATTTCCCCCAAAAAGAGAGGTTGAATTTCCAATCGAGCTTATTCCTGTATCTAACCCTATTTCTATCACTCCTTATAGAATGGCTCCGGCAGAATTAAGAGAATTGAAATCTCAATTGCAAGAACTTCTTGAGAAAGGTTTCTTTCGACCTAGTGTTTCTCCTTGGGATGCCCCTAGTTTTTTCGTAAAGAAGAAAGATGGCACTCTTAGGCTTTGTATTGACTATAGACAATTGAACAGAATAACAATCAAGAATAGATATCCACTACCAAGGATCGATGATTTTTTTGACCAACTGAAGGGTGCTAAAGTATTCTCAAAGATTGATTTAAGGTCTTGATATCACCAACTGCGTGCTAGAGAAAAAGATATTCCTAAAACTGCTTTTAGAACTCGGTATGGTCATTATGAATTTTTGGTGATGCCATTCGGATTGACAAATGCTCCTGCGGTATTCATGGATCTAATGAATCGAGTATTCAAGCCTTTTCTTGATCAGTTTGTGGTTGTTTTTATAGATCATATTTTAATATTTTCCAGAAGTAGTGAAGACCATGATAAACACCTCCGAATTATTTTGAAAATTGTGAAGGAGAAAGAACTTTATGCTAAACTTTCCAAGTGTGAATTTTGGCTTGATGAAGTGACGTTTCTGGGACATGTTGTATCAACCGAAGGCGTGAAGGTGGATCCTAGTAAGCTACAAGCAGTTGTTGAATGGAGACCTCCCAAAAGTCCAACCGAGGTAAGAAGTTTCTTAGGCTTAGCAAGTTACTACAGAAGATTTGTGAAAGTATTTTCCATTATCGTCTCTCCTTTGACTAATCTTTTGCAGAAGTAAGTAAAGTTTATTTGGGATGACAAATGCCAAGAGAGCTTTGAAACTCTCAAATCCTTGTTGACTCAAGCACCTATACTTACTCTACCAATTGAAAGGAAAGAGTATGTAGTATACAGTGATGCTTCTCACAATGGTCTAGGATGCGTTTTGATGCAAGAAGGGAAGGTTATTTCTTGTGCCTCTCGGAAATTAAAACAACATGAATTGAATTATCCTACTCATGATCTTGAACTTGCTGCTATAGTCTTTGCTTCAAAAATATTGCGGAATTATTTGTATGGAGAGAAATGTCATATATTTACTGATCATGAGAGCTTAAAGTACTTGGGTACTCAGAAGGAGCTAAACCTTCGACAACGTAGATGGCTTGAACTCATCAAGGATTATGACTGCATGATTGATTATCATCCAGGTAAAGCCAATGTGATTGCAGATGCCTTCAGTCGAAAATCCTTTGCAAGCATTTCTTTGATTTCTTTACCCTTGCTTCTTGAGT